GGTTTTCCACTCTTGATCTTAAAAGTGGGTATTGGCAAATTAAGATCCGTCCCGAAGACAAAGAGAAAACGGCTTTTTCAATAGGAAAAGGACTTTGGCAATTTACAATTATGCTCTTTGGGTTGTGTAACGCCCCTGCAACATTTGAACGCCTTATGGAAAAGATTTTACAAAATTTATTATCAAAAATTTGCCTTGTTTATTTGGATGATGTGATAATTTTTGGGAAAAGTTTTACTGAAATGATAAACAATCTTAGAACAGTATTTTTACGATTAAGAGAAGCAAATTTAAAAATAAATCCGAAGAAATGTGTATTATTTAGTAAAACTGTAAAATATTTGGGTCATGTGGTTTCTGCGGAAGGCGTTGTTACAGATCCCGATAAGATTTCCGTTGTTAAAGATTGGCCAATACCTCACACAAAAAAACAATTACGAAGTTTTCTGGGATTTTGTTCTTATTATCGTAAATTTGTTAAAGGATTCTCTTCCTTAGCTAAACCCCTTTACATGTTGACAGAAGGTCAAATTAAATACATATGGGGAGATGAATGTCAAAAAGCTTTTGAAAAGTTAAAGTTTTTATTATGTTCTTCTCCAATTCTTTCTTTTCCAAGGGAAAAGGGAGAATTTTTATTAGATACCGACGCGTCGAATATAGGAATCGGTGCAGTGTTGTCTCAGAAAGATGGAGAAGAGAAAGTAATTGCTTATTTTAGTCGTGTGCTTAATAAAGCCGAACGGTACTATTGCGTTACTCGTCGGGAACTTTTAGCGATAGTAGATTCTATAAAATTTTTTCGTCATTATCTTTGGGTCAACAAAAGTTTTTAATCCGTACGGATCATGTTTCGTTACGATGGCTTTTATCTTTCAGAGATTTGGAAGGTCAATTAGCTCGATGGATGGAAAGATTACAGCAATGCGAATTTGAGATTATCTATCGTAAAGGGATTTCTCACAATAATGCTGACGGATTGTCTAGAAGACTTTGTGAATCAAACAATTGTCAATATTGTGCAAAAGTGGAAAAGAAAAATTCAGAGGAGAGAGAACAAACAGTTTCTCGTATTGTGTTCGAAGGCAAAAATTTGGAAAATTGGCGTGAAATGCAACGACAAGATCCTGACATTTCATTTATTCTTCGTGCCAAGGAAACAAAAATTCGTCCCCCACACTCAGAAATAGTCGGAGAGGACATTTCAACTCTAATATATTGGTCGTATTGGGATTCTTTGATTGTGAAAAATGGGATCCTCTATAAAAAATGGGAAGCTCCAAATTTAAAATCAAATTTTCTCCAACTCGTGGTTCCTCGAGTACGAATAAAGGAAATATTAGAGGAGACGCATGATTCTCCAACAGGAGGACATTTCGGAGCCAATAAGACTCTAGGAAAAATTCGAAAACGATTCTTCTGGGCAACCTGCAAACAAGATGTTGAGGAATGGTGCAAAACCTGTAAAATCTGTGTTTCAAAGAAAGGTCCTTCAGGAAAAGGGAAATCTCCTTTACAAATTTTTAACGTTGGAGCTCCATTAGAGAGAATACAGATGGACATACTTGGTCCTCTTCCTTCGACAAGATCCGGAAACAAATATTTGCTTGTTATCGTAGATTGCTTCACTAAATGGGTGGAGGCTTTTCCTATTAAAAATATCAGAGCTAAAATGGTCGCTGAAGTCTTTGTTAATCAATTTATCTCAAGGCATGGAATTCCAAGTGAAGTTCACACTGATCAAGGGAAGAATTTTGAATCACAACTTTTTTCAGAATTAATGAAATTACTCGGGATAAGAAAAACCAGAACTACCGCCTTGCATCCTCAATCTAACGGACAAGTAGAACGCCAACATCAGACTATTTCAAATTTCCTAGCGAAATACGTATCGGAAGATCAAAAAGACTGGGATCGATGGATTCCCATGTTTCTTTTAGCTTACAGATCTTCGAAGCATGAAACCACTGGCGTGACTCCGGCAGAGCTATATTTTGGTAGGGAACTAAGGCTACCAGTGGATCTTTTACGAGGAAATCCTGAATCTTCTGAAGGAAGACTTCCAAGAAAAAATTTTACTAGAAATCTAAAAGAGAAATTAAAAGAAATTCATTCTTCGGTTAGAGAGCGAATGAATTTGAAATCTTCTCAGATGAAGATTCGTTATGATCGTAGTGCCAGAAGAATTCTTTTCGAAGTAGGACAGAAGGTTTGGTTTTATAATCCTCGTAGGGTTAAAGGGAAAGCTCCGAAATTACAAGGAAGTTGGGAAGGTCCATTCCGGATAGTAAAAAAACTTAGTGACGTGGTGTTTTGCATAGAAAATCGTCTAGACATAAGAGGAAAATTGTACATTCAGATAGATTAGCTCCTTTTCTCGAGAGAAGTTTAGAAAAATAATTAAGTAGATTGGAGCCCGAAAATGTCGATTTTTATTTAAAAATTCGGGGGGATGTTTTAATTTAAAAAAAAATAGAATAAGTTACTGCGCATTTTATTTTTCGTTACAGAGTCTTCAATTTGGAAAGAAATTTGTCTTTGACCTGAGAAAAGTTTCCTGAATGGCGGAAAAATTGATCTCCCAGCTTAGTCTTCGAGGGAGAAAATCTTCATCCGTCTTTATTCTACTCTAAGAAGACTGTCTTGCCCGCGGTTTTTGATCCGTGGTTTTCCCGCGGGACTTTGGGCAAATGCCGAGACAGGGACTTGGGGAGTCCATGAGGGACGATGGGTCCACGGAAGATACCCCCCCCCCTTGTCTGAACCGGAGGACGAAGGGAGACTGGGACTTATCTTCAAGGAATTTTGAAAGTCGATTGGGACCAAATTGACGGAGTCGCTCGGTAACCTGCGGCAGCAGCCCAGGGTAGGGCAGGAAGACTCGTCGGTGTCCTGGAATCGACAATTGATACAGTTGTACTGTGGACTTGGATTGGCGAATATAGTCCAACGGATGTGCGACGGGATCCAGAATGGCGGATTGTTTGGTAACCTGTGGCAGGAGCTCAGGGTAAAACAAGAAAATTCGTCGGAGTCCTGAGGTCGGCATCGGAATACAGAATTATTGTACAGCGTTGGATAGCCCTCTGTTTTTGATTGTCGGGACGACAATCTTGAAGAAGGGGGCAGTGTTACGTCCCTGATCTTTCATCCCCTAAATATCATCCCTTGTGTCGTGGAGCTTCATCGTTAAGGGGGGTTGTTTATTGACAACCGCCCGGTGGTTGTTTTCAGGCTCCATGACAGTTTTGGTCTAGCTGTCATCTCGTACGGACGTGACTTGACCAGAGAGCAATCTTCTTTCTTTCGCGTGTACATTAGTCATTGTATTCATCATTGTATAAAGGATCATTTCTTCATAAGAGAGTGTATTTATTTCGCGAGCGCGAGTGAGTGAGAGTGTGTGCGAGAGACGTCTTTTGCGAGAAAGAACGTCCGGAGGACGTCGTAACATTTAGAACGTCCGGAGGACGTAAACAATATTTTAACAATTTAAAAGTAGGGCATCCTAAAAAAAAAAAAATTATTGTGCAGTACTCGGTGTACGCGGAGTGATTACAGTTAGTGCGCGGCCGCGAGTGTCAAGTTTAGGACGGCACAAAAAAAAGAGAAGTATGAAAGTCCACGGCACACAATAATATATTTTCACAAAATTATACAGCACAAAGAAATGCTCTAATGCAAGCGAACTGCAATTAGAAACGTTCGATGATGCCGGAAGTGCAACCAATGACAAGAAAATCGATTCTCCGCGCGGGCGTGCGACGAAAATCGAGAAGAGCGAAAAAAGGAAAAGCTGTCTGTGCGCGCGAACGACTGGCCTACGATAGCTCCGTTCGATCAGAGGAACGAGGACCAGCGTGATTGTTTTCCTACCGACTTCGAGAGAGTTCCGAGGTAAGGAACCGTGTTTGTGTTCCTTCCACATAAGATAGAATTCTCTCGAATGTCGGAGGGAAAATCACTTGTTGTCGTCGGTTATGTTTTATGACGAGACGGTTACCTGTCACCGTTCAACGACAGGTATTCGAGCGTTAAAGACAGCGCGATCTTGCGATATGGCGGGGCGCGCTCGCTCGCGATTGGCGCACGGAGATTTAGCGCGAACCGTCGCGCCAAATTCGAGCGGCTGTTTCAGCGCAGTTAGCTGCGCTCGTCTCAAGGCGAAGAATGCACTCCGAGATGCATTCACACTCCCCCACACACACACTCTCTCTCTCTCTCTCTTCTCTCTCTCTCTCTTCAAAATCCGCAACATCCCGCCCGCCTTCGTCGGGTACACGCGACGAACTACCCTAGGGTTGCTAGGGATAATGTGTCGCCTGGGTTATCGTCGCGACCGCGGGTCGAGCGCGAACGCGAGTTTGGACAGGCGAGGTTAGGAGTCCCATGTGCCACGTGCTGAGCGAGTGGAGCTGCGACAAACGACAAAATATGCTAGACAGGTAAGTATGAGAAGAGTTGACGCAGTACAATTGACAATAGTGAGACAACCGACTAATTTTATAACTAATTTTTTTTTTTTTTATACGATGTTTCACAGGTATTATTGTGAGCGCGAGGTTGCACGAGACACGCGGTTACGCGGGGGTCCGGATTCTACGGCTACCGTCGGCAGTGGGACCAGCTTGACCACTGGCCGGGTCAGTTCACCGACGGTGGTGCGGACGTCCACCACGCGCACTTGGCCATCTTCGCCCGGGTGTAAACGCGTAACTCGGGCGAGCGGCCACCGGCACGGCGGGGTGCTCTCTCCTTTGATGAGGCACAGCTGACCCTCGCAGATGTTCCCTCGGGAGGTCCACCACTTGGACCGTGGTGTGAGTCCCTGCAGGTATTCGCGGGTCCATCGCTGCCAGAGATGATCCCGCATCTGCTGCAGAAGTCGCCACCGGTTCAGACGGTTAGGAGGGGTGTCCAAGAGGGACGGCTCCGGGATGCTGAGGAGAGGCCCTCCCACCAGGAAGTGTCCCGGCGTCAGGGCGTCAAGGTCGTCTGGATCATCCGACAAGGCCCCGAGGGGCCTTGAGTTTAGGCAGGGCTTCGACCTCCGCGAGGAGTGTGGACAGCTCCTCGAAGGTGAGCTTAGCCTCTCCGATGGTGCGCCGCAGATGATGTTTGACGGCCTTGACAGCCGCCTCCCACAGGCCGCCGAAATGGGGAGCCGACGGCGGGTTGAAGACCCACCGAACTCCCTCGTCTGCCAGGCGGCCAACGAGGGCGTGGACTTCGCCGCTCGCCGCCCTGAAGAGCTCCCTAAGTTGTCGATCCGCGCTACAAAATTGGTGCCGCAGTCGCTATACAGGGCCGTGCATCTCCCTCGACGCGACACGAACCGGCGAAAGGCGGCGAGGAAGGCTTCGGCCGAGTAGTCGCTGGTCACCTCCAGGTGGACGGCGCGGGTGCTGAAAATACGAAGATTACCAGGAAGCCCTTGTGGGCTTTGTGACCGCGGCCCTTCGTCGTCCTGAGCCAGATTGGGCCAGCGAGGTCCACGCCGGTGTGAAGGAAGGGTCGACCTGGTGTGACCCGCGTCCTCGGCAGATCTCCCATCTTCGGTTGCGGAGTGGCCGCCCGCCATCGTACGCAAGGTAGGCAGCGATGTATGTGGCTTCGCACCAGTTGACGGGCGCGGTGGGATCCAAAACCGTTCCCTGATGTTCCCCACGGTGGACTGGACTCCACCATGCAGGGTGCGTCTGTGAGCGGCATCGATCACCAGGTAGGTGAGGTGAGATTCAGGTGGTAGGATGACTGGGTGTCGCTGGTCGGCATCCAGAATAGCGTGTTTCAGCCGCCCGCCAACCCGCAGGACCCCTCATCGTCGAGCATGGGAGTCAACTTCCTGAGTGAGCTTCTGGTCGCCAGTGATTTCCCGGTACGGAGGTCCCGCAGCTCTAGGTGGAAGTTCGCTCCCTGGACTACCCGGATCCATCGAGTCAGGGCGGCGTCCATCTCCTCCGGCCTCAGTAGGTCAGGAGCAGCAGCGTCGCTGGCGGGGCGGCGCTGGCGAGTTGCCCAACGCCAGATCCAGGAGGATACGCGTAGCAACCGGCGAAGGCTGGAGAATCGGCGAAGCTCTTCAGGTTCCAGCACTTCCCTGACCACGTGCATTTCTGTGGTCGCTGTTCTGGCAGGCTGGTCTCTTCCTGGGATCCTACATCCTTCGGCCAGGTGTCAGGATGACCGCTGAGGTAGGTCGGCCCATGCCACCACAACGGATGGCGTAGCAGCTCCCTCGGCGACACCCCCGGGAGGCGCAGTCAGCTGGATTGTCTCTGCCGGGTACGTGCCGCCATTTTGCGTCCTGGTTGTCTCGGTGGATTTCGGCGACTCGGTGGCTACAAACGTTGTCCATCTTGCAGGGTGTCCTCGGATCCAGCCGAGCGTGACTGTGGAGTCCGTCCAAAGATGCACCGCCGATCTTTCAAGGCCCAAGGAGGACCGGACGTGTTCGGCCAGTTTAGCCAAGAGGGTGGCCCCGCAAAGCTCCAGGCGGGGAAGCGATACACGCTTGACCGGTGCGACCTTGGTCTTAGCGACTACCAGGGTCACGTCGGGCTGCCCGTTGATCACGCCCTGAGGTAGATCACGGCAGCGTAGGCTCGTTCGGAGGCGTCGCAGAATCCGTGCAGCTGTTGCGAGTGGTTTGCGGCGTCACTCTGGAACCAGCGTGGCACCTGATCTCCTCAAGCAAGGGCAGCTCCTCTTCCAATCGGGTCCACGCGGCGGCGTCGTCCCTTGTCAGCGGAGCGTCCCAGTCTAGCTGCTGTATCCAGGCTGATTGGACGAGCAGCTTGGCACGGACTATGATCGGCGCCAACCAGCCTAGTGGGTCGAAGAGACGTGCTGTCTGCGAGAGTACCGATCTCTTCGTCGGTAGCGCCGTTGAGGTTGGTCGGACGGAGAGGGAGAGAACATCCTCCCTCGGATTCCATCGGAGGCCCAGGACGGAGTGACTCTCAGACGGCAGTCGGGCACCTGTCATGACGTCCAAGCGATGTGCGAGCGGGATTTTTTCCAGAAGGCGATCGTCGTTGGCAGCCCACTTCCTAAGCGGGAAGCCGCCCGCCGTACAGAGCGCGGCCACCTGATCCAGGAGGTCGCCCGCTGCATCCAGGGTGGCGGCTCCGGTGAGTACATCGTCCATGTAGACATCTGCCGCAGTACATCGGCGCCCAGCGGAAAGCGACCAACCTCGTCGATCGCGAGTTGATGGAGCACGCGGATGGCGAGGTACGGTGCGCTCGCTAGGCCGTACGTCACGGTATTCAGCTGGAATTCCTTGACCTCGTCTCCCTCTGTCCACAGGATCCGCTGCAAGTCCCGGTCGTCGCGGTGCAGCTGTATCTGACGATACATCATCTTGATGTCGGCGACAAAGACATAGCGGTGTCGCCGCCAGCGAGTCAAGGTGTCGGCTAGCGACGGCAGCAAGTTACGTCCGGTGAGCAGACTGTTGTTCAGTGACGACCCGCCGCCAGTACGCGCCGAGCCGTTGAACACCACCCGGATCTTGGACGTCGTGCTTGAGCTCCGTAGCACCCCGTGGTGAGGCAGGAAGCAGATTCTGGAACCTGGTGAGGGCGACGCGGCTGAGACAGGCGACATGTGTCCGAGTGTCAGGTACTCGTTCATGAAGTCGCGATACAGTCCACCGAATTCGCGATCGTGAATGAACCGACGCCTCATGACGTCGAGGAGCCGTGACGCGGTGCGGCGCGTGGAGCTGAGGTCCGGCAGCCCCGTACGGAACGGTAGTCGTACCTGATAGCGACCGTCCTCAAGTCGCACGTGGGTGCGCACAAAATGATCTTCGCACTCCTGTTCGTCAGCGGTCAGCGGCAAGGCGGCCCGAGGAGGTTCTTCGGTCTCCCAGAAGCGGCGTACGAGGGCTACCAGATCGTCACCCGTGGAGCATTGGAGAGACGACACGGGGGTCGCGACGTGACCGGCTCCAACGACGCCCAGCAGCACCCAGCCAAAGCGAGTCAACAGGGCACCGGGCTCGCGCGGTCCTCCTCGGCGAAAGCCCTCCGGCAGAGCGAGGTCCAGATAGACATCGGCGCCAAGCAGCAACTCCACAGCATCCCGGCGGTGGAACTCCGGGTCTGCAAGCTCGAGGCCGTCGAGGTGGGGCCAGGAACGGGCCTCGCCCTCCGAGGTTCCGCCGTACACCGTGAGTCGTGGGAAGACGAGCGGCGAGACGGCGAGCGCAAAGTGTCCATCGCGAGAGGAAACGGTGGCGGTGATTCGTCCGTGGGTGACGCCCGTTTGGATGCCTCCCACTCCAAAGATGGCCACTGACGATGGGGTCCGCGGGAGCCGAAGTCGTTGCGCTAAGGATTCCGCTATCAGCGAGGTTTCTGAGCCCGGGTCGATCAGCGCGCGGACCGCATGCCGAGTGCCCACGCGGTCGGCCACGAATACACGGGCAGTTGCCAGAAGCGCCGGTCCACACTCCCGGGGTGGTCGCCTCGCGACGTGGACCGTCGTCGTCGAAGATGAGGAGGCAGTCACAGGTAAGGCCACAGCCACAAAGGCGTCGTGCAACGTCGTGTGATGCCGGCCGGAGCATGTGGCGCACGCCTTGTGCGACTTACAGTCGGCTAGCAGATGACGACCCAGGCAGTTCCAGCACCGCTGGTGAGTGTTGATGGCCTCCCGTTTCTCGCTAACCGTCTTCTTCTTGTACTGCTCACAATAAGCAATGAAGTGATCCCTTTTGCAGAGTGGACAGCTGCGGTTCGGATCAGACCCTGGTACCCACATGGCTGCTGCGAGAGGAGCGGCTGGACTTCTCCGTTGGCTTGGCAGGCGCTACGGTCTTCACTGACTGGAGGACCTCCCAGGTCATCAGTTGTTCCTGGAGGAACTCCCGGAGCTTGTCGTAGGACGGAGGCTCCGACGACCTTCGAGGGAGCTCTCCCATTCACGCCGAGTTTCAGCGTCCAACAGCTCGACGACCAGGTGGACGAATAGGTCCGTGCAGTCGGAGATCGGGCGCCCGATGCCCTTCAGTGCACCGACTGTCGTGAGCACGCCGTGGAAACAGTCGGCGTAGTCCATCGGCTGACGGGGCCTTCAATCGCGGCAGCGAAGTGAAGGCTGTCAGGTATGATCTGACCAGTAAGCGTTTATTTTCGAAATACGTGGTCAGCAAGTCCCACGCATCCTCTAAATTTTCTTCAGTAGACGGCAGGTTGCGAATCAGCTGTTCAGCATCACCCTTTACGCTGGTTTTCAGGTAATGCAGCTGTTCAACCTTTGTCAAGGACGCGTCTCCTAGGACCATGGAGCTGAACAGATCTCGGTAGGCTGGCCAGTCCTCGAACTTGCCGCTAAACTGCGGTAGGTTGATCCGCGGGTAACGTTCGGCGGGACGGAGCCGTCTCTCGGACCCGTTCGCCGAGGGCGGGCCCCACAGGCTCGATGAAATGCTCCTCCAGTCCGGCGAGTTCGGAGCGCTGCCCATAATACGCCGTCTCAACCTTGCTGAGGAGGTCCTCGGTGGTGTACTTCTCCCGCTTGATCTCCTTCCAGAAGTGGGCGCGGAGCTCTTCATGCTGTTCAGTGAATTTGGCCCATTTATCATCCAGGACGCGGATTGCAGCCTGGACAGTGTGGGCGTTCAATTTGCTCGCCCCGATCTTCTTCAAGTTCTCCACGCTACGCAGTATGCGTAGGTAGAGCTCATGCTGAGCGTCGATCATTTGATCCATGTCCATTTTCTTTGTCACAGGTCACTGGACACTCACACGGTCACGGAGCCCGCACTCACCCCGACGGCGAAGTTCAATAGGTGCCGGGCGCGACAAATTAACGACTTGTCGAGTAATCCGGCTCGAAGGACCAGAAGATGTGCAGTACTCGGTGCTACGCGGAGTGATTACAGTTAGTGCGCGGCCGCGAGTGTCAAGTTTAGGACGGCACAAAAAAAAGAGAAGTAGTGAAAGTCCACGGCACACAATATATATATTTCACAAATAATTATACAGCACAAAGAAATGCTCTAATGCAAGCGAACTGCAATTAGAAACGTTCGATGATTGCCGGAAGTGCAACCCAATGACAAGAAAATCGATCTCCCGCGAGGAGTGCGACGAAAATCGAGAAGAGCGAAAAAAGGAAAGCTGTCTGTGCGCGCGAACGACTGGCCTACGATAGCTCCGTTCGATCAGAGGAACGAGGACCAGCGTGATTGTTTTCCTACCGACCTTCGAGAGAGTTCCGAGGTAAGGAACACCGTGTTTGTGTTCCTTCCACATAAAGATAGAATTCTCTCGAATGTCGGAGGGCAAAATCACTTGTTGTCGTCGGTTATGTTTTATGACGAGACGGTTACCTGTCACCGTTCAAACGACAGGTATTTCGAGCGTTAAAGACACGCGCGATCTTGCGATATGGCGGGGCGCGCTCGCTCGCGATTGGCGCACGGAGATTTAGCGCGAACCGTCGCGCCAAATTCGAGCGGCTGTTTCAGCGCAGTTAGCTGCGCTCGTCTCAAGGCGAAGAATGCACTCCGAGATGCATTCACACTCCCCACACACACACACTCTCTCTCTCTCTCTCTTTCTCTCTCTCTCTCTTCAAAATCCGCAACAATTATAAAGAAAAATTATTAGTATTTTAATGATATGTATTATTTTAATAATTTTTTTTTTCATTAAATTTAATATATCTTACTTAATATTCGAGTTAAGGTTAATTTCTACTTTTATTATAATTATTTATTGAGGGATAAATTATGAACGATTAAGAGCATCAAATTATTTACTTATGTATACAATATTTATTTCTTTACCTTTATTTGTTTATATTTTAAAATTATATAAATTAAATAATAGATTAGATTTAAATTTATTAAATATATATCTATTAAGAAATTATATTATAAAATTTTGAGATTATTTAATTTTATTTTTAGCATTTTATATTAAAATATAAATATTTATATTTTATGTGTGGTTACCTAAAGCACATGTTGAGGCTCCAGTTTATGGGTCTATGATTTTAGCTGCTCTTTTATTAAAATTAGAAAGATATGATTTAGTACGATTTATAGAAATGTTTAGCAGAAGAAGGGTTAAATTTAATTATATTATTTTTAGAATTTGTGTTAGATCAATTTGTTTCTTTAACTTGTTTAGTTTAGATTGATATAAAAAGATTGGTAGCTTACCGGCTGAAGCTGTGGGCAATGACTTTGAACGCGGCTTAGCCGTAGGCAATGGCTTTGAATGCAGCTTATTCACTCACCGCGTCGCCGCTAGATGGCGGCGTGGGAAATCGGCCGCTTTACGCACAGAAATGAGCTGTTTTTGGCGCGCAATTATACATAAGCATTTTGTGCAAGGTGCTCAAATTATCGTCTTTTCTCTCATATATTTACCTCCTAAGGATCTTTTTTGCTACTCTGGACCGGTCCTTGGTCCAAGACTTCGTGTGAGTCATACTCACCCGCTCTCACATTGAAGAAAAATTATCAGAAGATACGGTCTGTCACAATAGATAACCTCACTCTACCGTCTCAGGGCGGGAGAGACGTCGTTCTCCCGTCCTCTGATTCAGACTGTTTTAACAATGAAGAGAATAAAGAAATTAAAACCATGAATTCGTGTGAGCTCAACCTCCCCCAGAATATGTCGCAAAATGATATAATGGAATATATAGTGGATACACGAGACAATCGTAAAAGATCTAGATCTGTGACTTCGGATGATTCTTCCTCTGCCCAGGGACTGACAGATCCATCAACAAAACCTGAAGATCAAGCTAAGAAAGAAAGTAAGAAACCAAAAGCTAATAATAAAAAAGATAATTTGGAGACTCACTCCTTACAAGCATGTTAATCAAAAAATAATTCCTCAAAAGTATCGGTAAACTCTTCTAAGGCCTTTTTTTAAAGACAAGACCGCTTTTTCAAGGAACTCAGGAAGTGAAACTCTATACAACCAGCACTGGTATGACCGACACAGCAAAGCACCGTTTGTAGTTTATGTAAGAAAATAAGGGGACAGGAAGATCGCAAAGTCTATATCCATCATCAAAGTTTCAAGACTTCTCACTAAAGCAAATATAAAATTTTTGTCAGTGGAATTCCATTCGTGGAATACGTGGAAAATGTCTTTTGACACATTTCAGGAGGTAAATTTAGCTATACACAACAAAATAGCTCAAGATTTAGGCTTAACGTTGTTCATCCCTAAGTACATGGTTTTCCGTAAGGGTGTAATCAAAGGCATCCCTATTGACATTCCTCTAGAAGAAATCTCAGCAGTCCTAGGAAAAAGAGAACCCTGGACTAAGAATAAATAATGTGTTCAGACTAAAGAGAAAGGACTTTAAAAAATGGGTGGATTCCTAGTCGGTATGCAAAGAGGTTAAAAATCAAGGTTTCCAAAAATATTAAATTATGGAGAGTTAATCTCTTTGTTTCAATATATATCCCTCCTATCAGAAAATGCTATAAATGTGGTAAAATGGGGCATACTAGTAAAAGCTGCGTTGCGGAACAGGAATCTTGTCTGAACTGTGGAGGCCTTAACCCCATCTCTCCCAATGACCCATGCAAAGTTACGCCTAGTTGTGTGAACTGTAAGGAAAGTTACCATACTCTCAGTCGTGATTGCCTCAAATTTAAACTAAACATTAAGATTAATAGAGTCATGGCACTAGACAATCTATCATACATAGAAGCTTGAAGGACCATCTTAAAGACTCAACAGTCAAATCATTCATTAAGTGTGCCAGACAAAAACAGAAGAAATTTTCCAGCCCTTTCCTCCCTTCGAGCAGAGGACTCATCAGTGCGAAATGGCTGGTCAAACACCCGTGCATCTTCATTTGCCGACATGGTGCATCATGGTAAGAAATCGTCTCCGGATCTTTTTCAACAAATGCCAAGAAACTTGGAAGATATTCTTAAAAAAATTATTGCTGCTCCGGAACAAGATAAACTTTGCAAAAGATAATTAATACAATCGATCTTCATACTAGTATTTTTGTGAAAGATTCTTCTAATTCAGGTAACTTATTCTAATGACTGAAGGTCTTAGAATCGTTCAGTGGAATGCAAGGAGTTTCAAATTCAAAAAGAATGAACTATTATCTCGCTCCCAGGATGTTGATATCTTCATCATTTCAGAGACCTGGCTGGATTTCCGGGACTCCATTTCGTTCAGGGGATTCGACGTTATTCGTAGCGACCGCATTGCACGTAGAGGGGGAGGTGTGCTTATCTTGGTACGATCCAAAATAAAATACTTTATTCTCGATGATATTCCGGACTGTCAGAGAAGTTTGGAGATTTGTGGAATTAAGTGTATACGGACTCAGGTAAAATTTCGATTATCTCTTTATATAGGCCCCCGGATGGGCCCCATATTAACTCCTGTTCCTGGGAAAATTTTTTTTCAAGTTTCTCAAACAACGTTTTCATAGGAGGAGATTAATCTCCCAAACGACCAAATTTTTCCACTCATAGAAGGTCTCTCAGGTTCTGACCTCATTCTATTGAATAATGATACACCTACTTTTGTCAATTGGGAACAAAACTATTCTTCTATATTAGACTTATCCATTGTTAGCCCTTCGTTGGGTTTGAACGCATTTTGGTCAGTAAACGGTGACTCCTGGGGTAGTGACCACTTTTCCATTCTAATTAATATCAATATTATCACCTCGGCTAAAATAAGACATTGTAGACCAAAGCTTTACTCGAAGAAAACAGACTGATCTATATTTGCAGAATTATTAGACAAAGATATTTA